AACAGTTATCTATATGTGTTAGCATAGAAATAAATACTCTGGCGAAGATACAATAATAAAGAGAAATAAATAAATTAAGAAATATTCTAGAGCAACATTAGCACGAAAAGTACAGTGCTAAACAATAACAAGAGTAGTAATACAAGAATTATTCTAGAATGGGTAACATTTCAAGGGTAAATGCTAGTAAAAATTGGGCAAGGAGTAGTGATGATCTTGGGTGAAAATCAAGTGTAATAATATGTATTGTTAAAAGTTGGATCAGAAAAAATCATATCTAGCATTTTATTCACCTTCAAAAATAATTACCCATATACAATAATTTTACAAATTTTAATTGGATTTTTATATAAGTAACAAAATCACTATTTTTTTTGCATTTTAATACTTAAAAGTTCTTTATATTTTCTCTTTCTTTACTATAGGAGTTTCAAGGAAATCAAAGAAGCACACTAGTATATTGTGATGGAATCTCTAATAGGAAAAAACAAGTTTGAGGGTCTTGCTTTTTCTTTGAATTGCATAAGAAAAGGTTCATGGCAGTTATTTCTTTACAAATCTTCCTTAAAGTTCTTTCTTATTTTTCTTCTCTTTAATATACAAACCTTTTTAAATAATTATGTTTTCTGCTTGGGGAATTTCTTTTTAATCAAAAAAATTAAACTTTACATTAATATTGTTTATATTGTTAACTTGAGACAAAAATAATATATTCAATACTTATTTTTTACTATTGCTTAGCATATTCTGCTGTGTTATCAAAAATTAAAAATTTTTACTCAAAAAATTTCTTACCAAAAAACTGTAATTAGTTTACTTCTGTTAACTAATTGACATTTCAATGCCAACTAATCAAATACTATTAAATCTCAAAGTAATTTCATATAACCAAAACACTACATAAGTCCAACTATAAGTGGAAATAATGGACCTGCTAACTATTTTAAGTAGGTTACCTATTACATTACACCTTTTTGCTCATGCAGCTATGGTTTCAGAGTGTGTTTTTCTTGGACTTGTCTTAGGACCGCCATGAGGATAACCATATATTAGTGTCAGTATGGAGTTTTCTTCAAGGCTTTTTACTTTCGATTGCTAACAGGAAAAGATTTTGCAGCTTGGGATTGGTTGAAATGGAGTACAGCCCAGTCTGTACATCCAAATGTATGAGTGGGTTTTTAGCTACACTAGTGATTATCATGTCACCATTCTGATGATCGCTGCACCACTACATCTTATTTGGAAGGTCACAATCTCAACACTTACTGGATCGGTGTATGAAATGGCTTCATATGAGAAACAGCGCTTAACAGGTTATAGTGTCAGATATCATATAGGTACTATTCAATCACCTTCACCTGGGATTGAACCAGTATCTTGTGATCTGTGAAGTGTTAACCACTACACTATAAACCCACAAGTCTAGAAAAACATCAATAAAATTTTTTTACAATAATAAATTTATTTATTTATAATTTTTTTTTTATTATCTAACATGTAATAAATATACTATAAAAATTTTAATTGATCTTATTAAGTCTAATTTTTTTAAGTGTCTACAATATTTTGTCTACCATCTGTATATGCTTATTATTTAGAAGAATTAATAAAAAATATCTCTCACAAAAAACAATATATATACTTGAAATTATATCTCATAGAATACTATTTCAAGGTTGCTATCCACATACTGTATATATTATTTTGGAGAAATTAGGAATTACCCAGATCTACAGAACTTGATTTACCACTCTATACCTAATTAATCACCTGTCACACTCTGATTATGTTTTATTAATACAAGATTAATTCATAAAACTTATGGCCTAGTAGGAGAGAATTGTTATACTGATTTTCACTCAAGATTTTCAATAACTACTGTTTGATTTTTATTAGTATTTATCCTTGAAATGTTGTCCTTTCTAGAATAATTCTTGTATTACTATTATTGTTATTGTTTAGTACTGTGCTTTTCATATTATTGTTGCTCTAAAATATTTTTTATTTTATTTATTTATCCTTATTATTATATTTTTGCCAAAGTATTTGTTTCTATACTAACATATACAAATAACTGTTTTGACAAATATAACTCTTTTTTTATATCTTTATTATTTCTTATAACTCTCAAATATGTATATAAAGGCTTCAATTTTATTTAGGAATTGACAGGCTTGAACTTATATTTTATTGAATAAACATCTTGACCTTTACAAACCAAATTATCTTTATCTTTTTTGCCTGATCTCATACATCTCAGAATTGTACTAATATGTATGCCTTTAGAAACTTTAATATACCATATGGCCCTGTTCATCTAAAGTGTCTTCTTGCTACTAGTTCTCCATTTTTATCTTTTTTTTGAGATAAAAAAAATATATAACAGTATATATAGCTAGATATAAATTTTTAAAGTTTGTCCAATAACTTTTGAGTACTCTTTGTATATAATGCTAAATAATTTTGTCAACATTATAATTAAATAATAAAAATTTATTCTGAAGGTTATAATTTTTATTACAGAATATTGTTGAATATTTTTTAGCCAAATATTTTTTTGTTAAATTATTTTATTTCCAAATGATTTTATTTCAAAATGTTTTTATTTCAAAATGTTTTTGTTGTCAAATGATTTTATTACCAAATGATTATTTTTTTGTCAAATGTTTTATTTTTTTTTGTTAAATTATTGTATATTTTTTAAGTACCGAATAATATAAATTAGACCAAACAATAAAACTTTGATATAAACTTTTATTAAATAAATTTGAATTTAATCAGCTGTAATTTGGCAGTTGAGTAATCTAATTTGAACTAGTGTTAATAAAATTCAGTTTTTATATATTATTATTTTTTGATTTCAATATTAAGGCAGAATTATAAAATTAATTGAAACAATAATTTTTAACTGTTTATATTAATTTGTTTAATAGTGTTTGAAATAAAACATATTAAATAAATTAAATAATTGAGAATTGAAAATTGTTTTTATTAATAATTTTGAAATCTGTCAAGAAAAGAACTGAAAGTTTTAATATTTGAATATTTTTTTTATTCTTCTTTATTCTGTTCTTATTTTTTTTTTATATAAATGTTCTGTTTATTGCAAATCTAAATTGATACAATTCTTATTTTGTTTTTCCAAGTTAGTAACACTAGGGGTCATAATGGTTAAGTGAAATATAACTTCTTAATTTTTTAATAGATATCTCAAAGGTTTTTGATTGGCATAAGCTGTCAAATAAAAGAACATGAATATTAAGCAGGATGCAACTTCTACATATAATACTATTTAAGTATTCTTTCTATATTATTTTATGCATTAGTGTTTACTATTAACAATTTTTTCATGGGTAACTTGTATTATATCAACATGTTATACAATGAAGTTTGTTGTGCCAGAGGGATGTAATTTGTAATAGGAGTTAGACCAGAAGCTTTTCTTATGCAACCTTTTTTGCTTTAACCTTAAAAAATAAGGTTTAGTATTTATTAAGTATTAAATTATAATAAAACCTATACTTACATTAGTATATAATATAGATGAAATTAAAATGCTATAAAAATAATATGCATAAAGCTGAATTTCAATGACTTTTTAAAATCACAATTTCAGGTCAAAACAATTTTAGAAAAACAAATATAATTGTAAATTTTTTTTTGAAAACAAACTTTATTAAATGTTCAACAGAAAAAAAAAAGAAAATCATTATATTAAAAATAATAATCGTTTTTTTAAATATTATTTTAAAGAATCAAAATATTTACTGTATATCTCCAGGATTATTATCTGATAAATTCTAATAGTCCAAAGACATTTTATTAAAATTTAAAAGGTAGATTAATTCTTTTTATCAAGTACAATAGCCATATTCAAAGATCTATATAATGAATTTAAGAAGGTTAAGATAAAATTATTTCCTATTTCACGGAAAACACCATTCTTATATTAGTTTTATATATTGTGATGGCAATCAATATGTCGGTCACTAACTGGAAGTAGAATTCATATAACTGTCATTTTGATTTAACAATCAAAATTCAAAAGAAACAGATTTGACTTGACCATTATGTTATACATTTTTAACAGACATTTAGATGAAATTTTTAGAGTACAAAAAAAAAAGATCAAATTGATGAAGCATTTGGAGCTATTAAGATGATTCTAAATTACATCATATGTTTTCTCGTTGTTACTCATTAATTAATCATTATTATTACAGGTAATACTCCGGTTAAGATTGATTATGTGAATATCGTAACATCTTAACTGTTTATTTTACCTCTTACAATATATAACATAAAAATTTTTTAATTGTCCATCAATAATAAGAAAAAATCTGGATTGTAGTTATTTATTAATGGGAGATAGCCTCAATAATTCTTCATCAGTATATTGATGATTAGCATAATTATTGATAAATTTTTACATTGCCGGAAATTCATTCCTATTGATTTAACCAGAGAAAAAAAACGATCCATTATTTATACGTGCTGCTGGGATAAAGAACTTGATCTTTCTAATAAATAGAGCGAAATTTCAGGTATTTGAGATAATTTTGTGCTTCTCACAAAAAAAGGTATCAATTACACTAGATAGAATGTTAGTAACAGCATCAGACTTATAACCACCCTCATGTACCTCCAGTTTTCGGAAAATAAACCGTCCTAACTGTATCCATGTGTGTGACCTCTTACAGTTAACGGTAGACATACAAATATTATAAACGCAATGTTTATCATACAATATACAGTATATCATCGTTTTACTGACCTAGCATTTCTCCAGCAAAATGCATTCATTTATTTGACGTTATTTTAAAAATTTCTTAAAAAATAAGATTTAACACAATTACTGTTGATGTTATGAAAAAACAGGGAAACAATAAGGTAGAAGAGGACTTGCTGGGTGTGTTTGAAGAAGTGCCGTCTGGAGGCAGTTTCCTGCCTGTCAAATCTTCATACATAAACCGTGAATAATCTTCAAAGGAAGTGGAATTCAAATTCAAGTCTCTTTTGGATATCTGCATTGTGATATTAAAATCCGAGTCTCTTTCGGAAGTATGCGTTGGTGTTATGCCAATATTCCTTTTGTTTAGGACGTTAGGCATTGCGTTCACGACTTCTTTTAGAAAAGCGCTAACTTTATTACGTGTATTGGAATACGCATTGTAGGCATCATCTGTACTTAGATAATCTTTTACCCCTTGCCTTTCCTTGTAATTATTTCCCTGAAATATGTTCCCTTTGCCAGAGTTAAGTCGGTCAATAAGGAACCGTAGATTGCTCTTGTGATTAATGATTTCTTGGATCTTGTACAGAAAATCGGGTGAGTTTAATATAAAGTTACATATTTTTTCGCCATAACTTCCCAAGCTCTTAAGGAAATTAGGAAGAATTTGCGCTTCAAAAACATGGTCAGCGTCAAATTTGCTCTCGATTTTTCCGTTGATTGTTAGTTTCCCTAAGGTGGTTATAATTAATTTTTTATTGTCGAAATCATAATCATACGCAGGGGTATTATCATCATTAGTTTTGGCAATATCTCGGTACTTGAAAACTTTGTTATCCTTAATTTTGTTTGTTAAATCGGAACAAGAAGTCACTTTTGGGAATGCTGATTGTTTTGTTGTTGTTGTCGGTGTCCATCGCTCTTCGCATTGGCTAGCACTATTACAAAATTGGCCTAGAAGACAACAAGTGTTTCCACAACAAGCAGACAAACAACAGGTGTCTCCACAACAATAGGAATTCGGCATACAACAGGTGCCTCCACAACAGGAGTAACCCGTCTTACAACAATAAGTCTTGCAACAAATATAGCCCGGTTCACAACAATTCTTGCTATCACAAATGACACCACATTCTTTTGAACAACAGTAATCGGTACCTGCACATTGAAAGGAACCAGTTGGACAGTATTTCTGCCTTTTGATCAAAGATGAGTGATTCGAATGTATGCTAGGACTTTGAAAGTCATCAAATAATTTCACTTTAAAACCCTCTGTCGCAAAAGTGAAATTGCTTATAATTGAAATAAGGAAAATAACTATTGCCGTTGGAATATTCATAGTGAACTTGAGGTTTGTGTGAATTAACTAGGACCCATCTTATAACAAACGCTTTGTAACACAAATCAATGGATATGTTCTGGGACTTGGCGCTCAGCGAAGTAGCGATTTTTTTTTTCAAAATAAAAGACATGAGGTGTTTTCCTTACCTCATGTATGTAACACCTTTACGGCATTTGTGCGTCCCTCGTGTATCAACTGTCCAGGCGAATTTGTAGTATTATAATAATTTATATTATTAATAGTGTAGGGGTAAAATAAAAAGTGCTGTACTCGTGTACCTACATCAGGTACCACGAGACGTGGCTACTGTATAGACAATGTAAACGGTACAATAGAAGGATAATATGGGTACTGTATTAGAAACCTTACGCGCCGTGCAACGAACAGCGATGCTCAAGTTAGTCACGTGATAAATCTACGCTGAAATACAGTACAGTATTGCGAGATTAATCCTAGTAGAGATGTTATTGGCTTTATTTTAAGCCAGCTTTAGTTATAGCTTAAATCAGGCTAAGCTAAATCGATAGTTTAGCCATTGTTTGAGCCATGGTTTTAAGTTACGACTTAATTTATAATAAAAATATCATCAGCTTTGACTTTAATCAGCTTGCAGTTATACTTCAAGTAATAATTTAAAGAAAATATTGAAGCTCTAACTATAATTTTAATTATACATATGTAGTAGAATATTCATGTATTTAATATCAGTCACGCGACTTTTCACATAAATTTTAGGTGTAAATTTTTGTTATAATAAAAAAAATTTTTTACTTAGTAATTTAATATAAACTTTGAAATCTAGATTATTTTTCGTTTGCTTATAAACTTTGAATATTTTTTTTCATTTGATAGAAGATATGATAAAGAATAACTTTACTTATACCCCCAACTCAATATCTCTTAAACCCATGAAGTTTACCTTGAAGCAAGTGAAATTTTCATAGTAAACCTTTAAATTTTAAAATTAATGTAGATTCTTTTTGCTGAGTCAAAATTTAAAGATTTACTATGAAAATTTCACTTGCTTCAAGGTAAACTTCATGGATTTAAGAGATATTGAGTTGGGAGTATAAGTAAAGTTATTCTCTATCATATCTTCTATCAAATTAAAAAATAAAAAAATATTCAAAGTTTATAAGCAAATGAAGAATAGTCTGCATTTTAAAGTTTATATTAAATTATTAAGTTAAAAAAATTTTTTTATTATAACTTATAAATTTATGTGAAAAGTCATGTGACTGATATTAGATATGAAAAATAATTAGAAATATTAATAAAATAATAAAAGTTAATGTTGATTAATAATAGTAATTAATTATATATATAATTAACAATTAATAACTTAAATATATAATATTAACTTTTGATTTTATTAAAATTAAATAATATTTTATATTAATTTATTTTTATTTATTAGATTTAAAATTCCACATATTCTATTAAAAAAATAAAATAGATACTGTTAAAGACACAGAAAGTCTGTTAATTAAAATTTGCATATATATGTACCATATATTAGTATATTTTAGATTTAATTATGTGTAATCTTTAAGTTTTAACAAAAAGCAATCTAGATCAATATACCTTTCTTAATTGTAATTTCTTTAACAATCTATTAGTTATCAAATAAATAATTTTTATTGTTTTTAAGAGATGTGTGATTACTTTATTTATAACAAAATTATTACAAATAAAAGTAAGTTTAATTTATTTAAGCTATATATTTATAAATAAAATTTGGTCAATTAATTATTGTTAAGCAAATATTAATTACATTATTTATATGTTATATAATACAACTTATCTTTTTGTCTATAATACTATTTATACTATTTGTGCTTTAATATTTTATTTTATTCAACTTTTTTCTTTATAAAATTTACATGATAGAACATTAAAGAAAACAACTGAAAATATGAGAAGCTACGAGAAATCATATACCAATCCCTTAATTAAATATTCACACCTTTGATGCGGCACTGAGGATAATTGATTGTTCATGTGAATAAATGTTAATTTCCTTCTTACAAATATTTATTCGCTAATCGAAACCGTCAAACATGTGATCATAAATCAGAGTGCTATCATTGTACGAAGTAGCATGCCGATTAATACAGACACTCCATCAATAAAAAAAAAAAATTTTTTTAAAAAATTAATATAATACAAATAAATGATTGATATATAGGTATTTACGCATTGTCTTCATCACGCACGTTCATATTATAATTGTAGGACTTATTTCTCCTTGCGCAATGACGTTTTTTATTGAATACATAATGTCTTTTCCGGAGAAAAAATACGGTTTCAATAATCTACCGGTGGAAAAAATATCCGTTTTCCGTCTTCAATGAACGGGTAACGGACACTTTATTTAATTTTTTCTAATTTCAGAATAATACAGTACTGGAAAATTCTATTTCGAAAAACCATACTCAATATAGATACATTGATCTGATTGACCATAAATCTTATGTTTATTAACAGACCTGTAGTGATACTCCATTGTTATTGATGAATGATGTAGATCAATTCGAAAAGTCAATTCGTGCAATAACCTAATTGGGGTTGCATAGTTAGCTATTTGGAAAAAACGGGTTTATCTAAAGCCTATTTCTTTCGAATCTACTACTGTATCTCCGCACAAGGTAACGGAAAAGGAAACTGCAAATGCTTGCTAGATACTGGATAAAAATTGCCCTGCCATCATATATACGCTAAAAAGTATATAAGCTTATACCTTCTATCGTAATTTAAAGCACCTGCAAAAATGGTTTTCTTCAGATCTTTTAATCTGCACCTTGCATTTCTAACGTTCTTCTTTCTGCTGGCCCTTATCCCAGCAATTCGCGCCGATGATGAGAAACCGTTTACACAAGCCTTTATAGAAGAGAACCAAGATGTCATTACAGCATTCACCCATCGTAATCCGTACCTTAATTCAATAGCAAATGGCACAGCGACGAAAGCTGAATTCGAACGCGATATTATCCAAGGACATCGTTGGCTTTATCTCTGGGCGAGATCTCTAGGTTATGCCCTAACTAGAGCCCCCGTACCAGTTCCAAAGGATTGGGGGTTCGGCGATGTACCGGACGAATTTTTCATAGATATTTTATGTCAAATAGTGAACTCTGTTGAAGAATACGCTTCTCTCTTGAAAGGCCTCGCAAAAAAACATAACTTCGACATTTATGGCGAGCCAATCTCTGCGGCCGCGCAAGAAGACGGAGATTTTATAATTAAAGTTGCAAAGAAACTTCCTTTTGAAACATATATAGCTGAAAATTGGGCCGGTGTTAGATTTGTCTATGACGGTTTTACGATTGTTCAAGAAGCAATAAAAAAGAACGGGTACAAATATGAATTTCAGGATTATATTGATATAATTTCCTCCCCCTCGTTTAAAAATTCGAGCGATCAATTTGAACTATTAACAAACACCATTTACAAATCCAAGAAGGTAGATAGAAAGTTGGCAACCGAAATTGTTAGGGAACATATAAAGAGGGATAATGCACTTTTGGCAGACAATGTAAATGCTAAATAGATATACAGTATTGGGTTTTGTTATTTTGTTTTATTATTTCAAAGCAATGATATGTTGTTATTTAATAAAAGTATGAGTCTGCAATAATAACGGAATTTGATTTTTATTTGATCTAATTTTTCGATTCTGACCGTATTTGCGTTACAAAAAAATTTTTTGTTGACCATCGTAGAACGGAAACTCGATGTAAATTATTTTTTTAGTCATCCTCAATTTTATTAATGAGCTCATAACTTTATGAATGTAGTGCATAGATATCTCTCGTATATCACAAACATCATAAATTAGTCATTTCAATAAAGAAATTTTTGAAAAACAAACATTTGTTAATACAATTTACAGTACTAGTAAATAGCAATTGAATAGAAAGTGAATTGTAAGTAAAATAAATTAATAAATAATTCGATAGAATAAAATAGAATTCTCAAAAAGCAAAGGTGATACTTGGTAAAATGACTATTTTAAAGTCAACCTTAAATGAAAAACCTTTTAATTGAGAAAAATAGATTATATACAAGGTATAAATTTTAAAGATTTCTTTTCAAAAAAGTCAAAGATCCAGTTTACGTTCAAAATATTATTTGTCTGTTCTTTATTAAAAAAAAGACACGAATTTTTAAAGTAATGATTTGCCTTTAATACAATTTTCGATGGCGATTTTTTATTTTTGATTTAAATAAAATTAAAAATATTACTATTTTTATATAGAATATTTAAAATAGTCTGATTTTGCTTTCGTATAACAAAGATTATTATTATGTTTAATATCTAAAAAAATCAATTTAAATAACTAATTGTACTAAATTCACTATAATCATATTTTTCTAAATAAATTAACCTATAGATTTTATAAATTTTAGTGATTTTAGTAATTTTATATTTATCAACTTTTTTTAAAAAAATAAAACAAAAAAATTATTTTAATATATCAAAAGATTATTTCTAAATATGTGATAATATTAAAACCATTTTTTTTATCTATCAAAATTTTTATTAACAAATTAATATAGAAGCCATAAAATAAAATGGTTTTAAATTTTGTTTTTGTATAATATAGTTTTATTAATTTTTTATAAAATAATATTTAAACAAATAATTAAATTATTTAAAAAATTATTTAATAATGTGTTTATTTTAAATAATATAGTAAATAAATAATTAGGTTATAATGAATAATTAATTAAATTAGATTAAAATATTTAAATATTAATTTTATTAATATTAAGCAAGAATTTTTGTATATATGTTTTAAAAAATTATTTTAAATAATATACAATAAACTTTTATATTTAAATTAATAAAATAAAATTTAAATTATATATTAAATAAACAAATAATTCATTTGTCTAATTTTAATGAAAAAGAGAAGTTTTTTCAAAATTTATTTTTCATGTCAAAATTAAAATAATGTGTCAAAAAATTAATTCAAAAGTAACAATTTATAAGCTGTTTATTAAAAAAATATAATTAGCTTTAATTTAAATTTTTGGAAATAATAATAATAATAATTGTTTTCCAAGACAAAAAAAAATTTAAAAATAAAAAAAATTAGTTTAAAAAATTTGTAGTTATAATTTTTAAATAACTTTAAAAATATAAGACTTTAAGTATACGGAAAAAATTTTATAGTTAAAAATAATATTAGTGTCCTCGAAGTTACAGTATTTCTTATGCGTCTGTTCCCCTTTAAAAAAAGGCAACATAAATTAGTTATATTTTTTTACATTCTATTTAAGTCCACCACATCTATTTCACTTAACGTGTTACTGCGTTTCACAATCTCCCCTCGCGTGTTGCCTCTGCCAATATTAATTTTGACATAAATTTTTTTGATTACAAAACAAACTAGCCCGATTTCTCAGAACAGTCTATTCTTGTGTAGTGCTTCGGCCAGTGCTTTTCCTGTCGATTTTCTTATTTTTTTTCCTTATATATACAGTAAATTAGTGACTCGGCCAGTACTTTTCTGCAGATTCTCCTATTTTTATTACCACCTAATCCGGTATTCTAGTTGAGAGTCTTCAAATTTAAAGTTTATTATTTCATCTAACGATAACAAGCCTAATTTTATTTTCAGGTTATAAATTGGTGGATCAAGCGCATATCTCAATTTTTCCAATTTATTCCTACTTAAATCTAAATCCTTCAGTGTAGTATTTTTGCTTATTGCCTCTGCCAGTGATTTTCCTGCCGATTCTCCTATTTCGTTACCAGCTAAATTTAAATTAGTAAGGGTGGTATTTTTGCTTAGTAACTCGGCCAGTGCTTTTCCTGCCGATTCTCCTATTTCGTTATCACCTAAATTTAAATTAGTAAGGGTGGTATTTTTGCTTAGTAACTCGGCCAGTGCTTTTCCTCCCGATTCTCCTAAATCATTATATCTCAAGTTCAAGTTTGTCAGGGTGGTATTCTTGCATAGTGCCTCGGCTAGTGCTTTTCCTGCCGATTCTCCTATTTCGTTATCATCTAAATTCAAATTAGTAAGAATAGTATTTTTGCTTAGTAACTCGGCCAGTGCTTTTCCTCCCGATTCTCCTAAATTATTATATTCCAAGTTCAAGTTTGTCAGGGTGGTATTCTTGCATAGTGCCTCGGCTAGTGCTTTTCCTGCCGATTCTCCAATTTTATTAGAACCTAGATCTAAACTAATCAGGGCAGTATTTTTGCTTAGTGCTTCGGCCAGTGCTTTTCCTGCCAGTTCCCCTATTCTATTACCACATAAATTCAAATTAGTAAGGGTAGTATTTCTGCTTAGTGTCTCGGCCAGTGCTTTTCCTGCTGATTCTTTTATTTTATTATAAGATAAGTCTAAATTAGTAAGGGTAGTATTTTTGCTTAGTGCCTCGGCTAGTGCTTTTCCTGCCGATTCTCCTATTTCATTATCACCTAAATTTAAATTAGTCAGTGTGGTATTTTTGCATAACACCTTGGCCAGTGATTTTCCTGCTAATTCTCCTAATCCATTCCTATTTAAAT